AACAAGAAATTAAGCCATGTGTTCCACTATTATTGAATCGAACTGTTCAGATTCTACATATGAGATGCCTTAGATCCATCCAGTGCAATACAACAAGAGTTTAGAATTAAAGACTTGGGTTATAAAATCAGTTGTACTTGGGTGATCAATTGCAGACCTCAATATTTATTGTCTGAGACAACTCAATCGTGGCCCCCATCAAGTGCAGATCGAAAATATACACACCAGTAAAAGCTCCATTTTTAACTGGCTGTATATGATGAATTAAATGCTTTCAGAAAGGAAGCATTAAGGTTCTACAATCAAGTTTGCACTTTCTTAGGCTAGAAAGGAGGTAAAAATAATACCCAGGCAATCCACCTTGATTGCATTGCAGTGACTGTATGTGTGTGAACGTTAAATAAGGCAAAGATCATCTTCAGATTTATAGCTCCTTGCAGTAAAACAGTTCAAAACCACTCATGCCAAAGGCAAAATACCAAAGAATGGCTGTTACATGTGGAAGTGTACTCGAGCCATGATGGTTCAGTAAAACAAAACAGGTAGTAAATAAGTAAAACTGTTTAGAACAACAGTCATAAATAATTTACAATAATGCTCAGAGATTCTCGTGAATACTGAATGATACTGTACAGCACATGATAGAGTTATCTGCTGCCTATCAAGATTATTCTTGCCAAATTAGCAATAAATTTGACAGTTGCAAGAATGATGCAGTACGCACCTGTACAAATCCGGTCAATCTTAAGCCTTCCATTGTAAATGGCAGCTACTTGCTTGGTTAGATCCTCCACTGCAATATCTACTGTAGTGTCAAGCAAAAACTGGCTCTCGCTACCTTGCTTGATGTGTAATTGAACCATAGCTGCAGTAAAACAATAATCTTCAGAATTTCAGTTTCATAAATGGCAAAGCTGTGAATATACTTCCTGTTCAATGACAAATTTAATATGCTCTTTACACCATCACTTGGTGTCAGGCATCTTGCTATACAACAGTGAGGTCTTTGTTCTCCTATCCTTCTTCCCCTCACCCAATCAGCATAACTTTGAAGTAAACAGGAATTATGAGAAAATCATAGAAACCCTACAATGTGGAAAGAGACCATTCAGGTCATCCCACCCAGACCCAGCAGCCCCCACCGTATCCCTGTAACCCTGCATTGACCTGACCACTCCACCCAGCCTACACATCCCTGGACACTTTCCCATGGCCAATACACTTAAGCTGCACATCTTTGGACTGTGGGAAGAAACCACAGCACCTAGAGGAAACCCACCCAGACAGAGGGAGAACACGCAAACTCCATATAGACAGTTGCTCAAGGTTGAAATTGAACCCAGGTCCCCAGGTTATGCTGAAACTATATAAAATGTTGGTTAAGCCACAGGTAGAGTACTGTGTGCAGTTCTAGAATCCTTCCTAGAATGTGGATATGATTGCACTGGAAGGAGACCACTGAGCCACGGTAAGCAGTAAGTGTTTAACCAATCTATATGCCTTGTGTTAACTCTAAATGTTGAAACCTTGAGTGAGTACATTTGTTAAATATATTCTGAAGACCACTTGGAAAAGTTTTTGGCCAGGCTTATCGTTAATGCAACCTACAAAAGCCCATCAGGAACTGAGGTTGCAGACTTGCTCGCCGAGCCGGTGTGTTTGATTGCAGACATTTCGTCACTGCGCCTCCAGTGAAGCATTGGTATTCTGTCCCACTTGTTATTTATATGCCTCAGTTTGCGGGGTGTTTGGTACCACTTCTGGTTCCATTTCTTAATGGTTTGTACACAGGGTCTAATTCAATATGTTTGTTGATGACTTCCAGTTGGAATGCCAGGCCTCCAGGAATTCCCTGGCATGTCTCTGTTTGGCTTGTGCTATTGTGTTGTCCCAGTCAAATTCGTGTCCTTATCATGTCTGATATACAAACCACTGAAGAATAAAACCGTAAGTAATATCAACCACCCCAGCAAGCCAAGGCATATAAATAATAAGCGGGACAGAACACCAACACTTCACCAGAGGTGCACTGACGATGTTACCTAGCAGGGTGACAAAACATCTATAATCAAACACATCGGCTTGGTGAGCAAGTCTCCAACCTCATCCACAACCCAAGCTACAGATCTTCTCAAAAACCATCAGGAACTGCCATTATGATGGAATGAAATGAACATACGTGAAAATGTAATAAATTAAGTGGCAGGAAACAGTGACAGTTGAGAGTACTTTTGTGATTGGAAGCCTGTGTCCAGTGGGGCCCTGTTTTTGGTATCTATAAATGGTGCAGACCTGAATGTAAGAAGGGTTGATCAGTAAGTTTGTGGATGACATAGAAATTGGTAGGATGTAAATAGTGAGGATAATCTTAGATTACAGAAAATACAGATGGGCTGATCATTGACAAATGAATTTCAATCAGGATAAGTGTGAAATGATCCACTTGAGCAGGATAAACAAGGGAATACTAATTGAATGCAGGACACTGGGAATTACAGAGGATCAGAGGGACCTTGGTGTGCATGTCCACTGCTCCCTTAAGGCAGCAGGACAAATATATAAAAAGTGGTTAAGAAGGTATATGGGATACTTGCCTTTATTAGCTGAGACAGAGTTTATGAGCAAGGAGGTTATGCTGAAACTATATAAAATGTTGGTTAAGCCACAGCTAGAGTACTGTGTGCAGTTCTAGAATCCTTCCTAGAATGTGGATATGATTGCACTGGAAGGAGTGCAGAAGGTATTTACCAGGATGTTGCCTGGGCTGGAGAGTTTTAGTTATTAAGAGAGATTGGATTGGCTGGGGTTAAAATCGAATCAGAGATAGTAGGAACTGCAGATGCTGGAGAATCCGAGACAACAAGGTGCAGGGCTGGATGAACACAGCAGGCCAAGCAGCATCATAGGAGCAGAAAGGCTGACGTTTCGGGCCTAGACCCTTCATCAGAAAAGGGGGAGGGGAAGGGGGTTTTGAAATAAATAGGGAGAGAGTGGGAGGCGGATAGAAGAGGGATAGAGGAGAGGAAACAAACAGGTCGAAGAGGCAGGGATGGGGCCAGGAAAGGTGAGTGTAGGTAGGGAGTTAGGAAGGGGATAGGTCAGTCCAGGGAGGACGGACAGGTCAAGGGGGCGGGATGAGGTTGGTCGGTAGGAGATGGAGGTGCGGCTTGAGGTGCGAGGAGGGGATAGGTGGGAGGAAGAACAGGTTAGGGAGGCAGGGACGAGTTGGACTGGTTTTGGGATGCGGTGGGGGGAGGGGGGATTTTGAAACTTGTGAAATCCACATTGATACCATTGGGCTGCAGGGTTCCCAAGCTGAATATGAGTTGCTGTTCCTGCAACCTTCGGGTGGCATCGTTGTGGCACTGCAGGAGGCCCAGGATGGACATGTTGTCTGAGGAATGGGAGGGGGAGTTGAAATGGTTCGCGACTGGGAGGTGCAGTTGTTTGTTGCGAGCCCTCCCCCCACCGCATCCCAAAACCAGACAACTCGTCCCTGCCTCCCTAACCTGTTCTTCCTCCCACCTATCCCCTCCTCCCACCTCAAGCCGCACCTCCATCTCCTACCGACCAACCTCATCCCGCCCCCTTGACCTGTCCGTCCTCCCTGGACTGACCTATCCCCTTCCTAACTCCCTACCTACACTCACCTTTCCTGGCCCCATCCCCGCCTCTTCGACCTGTTTGTTTCCTCTCCACCTATCCTCTCCTCTATCCATCTTCTATCCGCCTCCCACTCTCTCCCTATTTATTTCAAAACCCCCTTCCCCTCCCCCTTTTCTGATGAAGGGTCTAGGCCCGAAACGTCAGCCTCTCTGCTCCTATGATGCTGCTTGGCCTGCTGTGTTCATCCAGCCCTGCACCTTGTTGTCTTGGATTGGCTGGGGTTGGTTTTTCTTGGAACACAAGAGATTGACAGGGGACATGACTGAGATTATAAAATTGTGAGGGACGTTGACAGGGTGGACAGGAAGATACCTTTTTCCCTTGGAGGGTTCAATGACCAGGGGCATAGATTTAAGATAATGTGCAGAAAGTTTAAACAGGATGTGAGGAAAAATGTTTGTAGGAATCTAGAAGTCACTGCCTGTAAGGGTGGCGGAGGCAGAAAGCCTCATAACAAGTTGATAAGTATTTAAGTGAGCACTTACAATGTCAAGGCACACAGGGTGTGGACCAAGTGCCAGAAAATGGGATTAGAATATTTAGGTGGTTGTTTTTGACCAGCGCCAATTCAATGGGCAGAAGGGCATTTATATCACAATTGTGATATCTGCCTGGAATACACTGCCAGAGGAGGTGGGAAAAGCAGATACAACAGCAACTTTGAACAGGCATCTTGACAGAAAGACGAATAGGTTGATGTGTGAATAGCAAAAGGATTTTTTTTAAGTTTAGGAAGTCACCATGTGACACTACAGGTCTGATGAGCCGAAAAGCCTGTTCCTGTACTCTTCTTTGTTCTGCTGCAGACCTCAGTGACTCTGAGCAACCTGCAGAGAGTGAAGGAGCCGGAGCTCAGGAGTTTCCATGGTGACCATAACAATCCTGACAACTTGCCGCTCCAAGTTGCCACAGTTATAAACACGTAAATTTAAAATAATACCGACCTCATACCTCGCAAATTCAATCTCACTATTCTTCCAAAAACGATTATTCAAAGCTTTCCAAAACTAAAAGCAATCGCAACAACGAACCACACACTACAGCCCGGCCCGGAAGGACTTTCTACGAAGTTCACGCGCATGCTCGACTGCACCCCGCCCCTTGATCTAGGTACAGCTCCGCAACAACCCGCAACGTCCCTTCACAGCCCCGCCCCATTCACGACCCAGCCCCGCCTCTTCCTTACGGCCCCGCCCCCAATCCCAGACTGAAGCTCTGCCTTCCACTGCTCCGCCCTGCCCCACCCACTGCCCCGTCCCGTCACACGCACGGCCCCGACCCAGCCCCGCCTCTTCCGTATGGCCCCGCCTCCGCCCTCTGACCTTTGACGAAGTCCCTCCCTGTTGTCAGCGTAATGGTAGCTGCTGGCTGAAACGAAGCGCCGTTTCTGGGATTCATGTTCGAGGCTTGATGATCTTTTATCTGAACTGGGGAAAGCTAGACATGAATTTGGTTTTGGGTGAAACGAGGAAAAATAGGAACGGAACAAAACTGTTGTGATCCAAGGACAAAAGGTGTGGATACAGAAACAACATGTGTGTGGATAAAAACCGAAAGAAATTGGATGCTGTAGATCAGAAACAAAAACAAAAAAAAATGTTGGAAAAGCTCAGCAGGTTCGGCAGCTTCTGTGAAGAAAAATCAGAGTTACCCTAGTCCTGAGGAAGGGTCACGGGACCCGAAACATTAACTGTGTTTTCTCCTTCACAAATGCTGCCAGACCTGCTGAGCTTTTCCAGCAACTTTGTTTTTGTTCCTTACGTTCACTTTTATTGGAACACTTCAATAAGGCAAGAGCAGGCGTCACCCAGTGATACAAGATGGAAAATTAAAATAAAGGCACCTAGATAATCTAGTCTGGGCATGCAGATTGAGCAAAGATGCTCTGTAAAACAGTCACACAGTTTGCTTTTGATCTCCCCAATTTAGAATAGATCCTGTTGTGAGAATCAAATACGAAATTTAGAAAAGTACAGCGTACATATAAATTATTCCATCTGGAGCAGTATTGTTGGTGTTAGATAATTGGAAAGGTGGGAAAAGAACACGTTGTACACCAGCACCTCTATGGAAAAGTATTGTAGGAATGGGAGGGAGTGATAGGATCCTTAAAGAGTGCTACCGATGAACCCACAGTCATCGTAATGCTGGGGGCAGCACGGTGGCTCAGTGGTTAGCACTGCTGCCTCACAGCACCAGGGACCTGGGTTCAATTCCACCCTTGGGCCACTGTCTGTGTGGAGTTTGCACGTTCTCCCTGTGTCTGTGTGGGTTTCCTCCAGGTGCTCCGGTTTCCTCCCACAGTCCAAAGATGTGCAGGCTAGGTGGATTGGCCGTGCCAAATTGCCCATAGTGTTCAGGGATGTGTAGATTAGGCGGGTTTATAGGGGGATGGGTCTGGGTGGGATGCTCTGAGGATCAGTGTGGACTTGTTGGGCCAAAGGGCCTGTTTCCACACTGTAGGGATTCTATGAACATGTGGAATTTTATGAAATGTCTATTTGATGTTTAAATATACCATGTGGTAGAGTTTACTTCGGTGACTATTCAACTGGTTTTCCAGCCAAGAGATTTCTCTTTAAAGCTTATGTCAGCTGTTACTGGCTTATTGTTGTGTAGATAATCCTAGAAAGCTGCAGCACAGACAGTTTTTTTCGGGGGGTGGGGTGGTTGGAGAGCTTGTGCATGTATAGAAATCATCCAGTGTACAAGTTGATTGGGTAATAAAGAAGACAAATAATATGTTGGCATTAGTTTAAAAAGGCAATGGACTACAAAATGGGGAAGTCTTGCTAAAACTATACAAGACACTAGTTTGATCATAGCTAGAATACTGCAATCAGTTTCAATTCCTTATCCAAGAAAAGAATGTACTGGAACTGGAGGCAGTCCAAAGAAATTATACTTTGCTGATCCTGGGTTTAGAGGGATTTTCTTAGAAGGAGAGCTTGGGTCTGTACTCATTGGAGTTTAGACAAACGAAGGGGGATCTTGTTGAAACAAGGGAGATTCTTACGGTATCTGACAGAGTAAATGACCACAGTTTGTTTGTTTTCCCCTTGTGGTATATTCTCAGACCTGAAAGCATAATCTCAGAATACAGGGTTGCCCACTTAAGATAGAGATGAGGGATTTATTCAGTCATACAGCATAGAAACAGACCCTTTGGTCCGAACAATGCACGCCGATCATGTTCTCAAACTAAACCAGTCCCACCTGCCTGCACTTGGCCCATATCCCTCCAAACCTTTTCTATTCATCAACTTATCCAACTGTCTTTTAAACATTGTAACTGCACCTGCATTCACCACTTTCTCTGGCAGTTCATTCCACACATGAACCCCTCTCTGTGTAAAATAGTTGCCTCCCATGTCTTTTTAAAATCTTTCTCCTCTCACCTTAAAATATGCTCCGTAGTCTTGAGCTCCCCCACCCTAGGGAAAAAAGTGCTTTATTATTCACCTTCTCTATGCCTCTTGTGATTTTATAAACCTCAATAAGGTCACCCCTCGACCTCCTATGCTACAGTGAAAAATGTCCCAGCCTTTCCCGTCTATTTCTATATCTCAAACCCTCCATTCCCAACAACAACCTGGTAAATCATTTTTTGAACTGTCTCCAGTTTAATAATATCCTTCCTCTAACAGGGCAACCAGAACTGGACACAGTACTCCAGAAGAGGCCTTACCAATGTCTTGTACAACCTCAACACGATGTCCCAACTCCTTCTCTCAAGGGTTTGAGCAAGGAAGGCAAGCATGCTAAATGTCTTCTTAACCACCATATACCTGTGACACAAATTTCAAAGGATTATATATCCAAACCCCTCGACCTCTGTTGTACAACATTACCCAGGGCCCTGCCATTAATTGTATACGTCCATTCCTGAGAATAGTGAATCTGTGGAATTCTTTATTACAGAGGATTGTAGAGAGTGGGTTGTAAAGTTTATTCAATGCTGAGATAGATTTTCATCAGTAAAAGAATTAGGATTTATAGGAAAAAGGCAGGAAAGTGGAATTGAGGACTGTTAGATCAGTTATGGTATAATTGAACAGTGGAGCAGACTTGATGGGCTAAATGGCCCAGCCATGTTCCTGTATGTTTTGGTCTTATGTTAAGTGTTAATCCTTTACCTAATTAATAAAAAGACATTTAAACAATGTGAGATTGTAAGATTATCAAAAAAATTACCAGAAGGTTATGGCCCTACTTAACATGGAAAATCCATCTCACACCATCTCTTAAATAGACATTTAATTCTTCTAAAACCAGAACAAAGCAATTTTTCTGTATTGACAGTCTTGTTTCTTCTTTTTTGGCCAGGTAACCTCTAGGCTTAGAGGTAACTTTCACTGTTAAAGTTACAATGGAGACTCCCCCACTTTAATCCATCTAGGCAAGTCTTACATCCTACTTTAAATCATTACAAACTCTGTCTCTTCAATCCAAACACTAGATTTCACCTGAAATCTGGAGGTGGGGGTTTTCTCTCAAGTGCAGGACTAGCTTTCTCAACGTCCTGCTGTCTGCAGGCTGACTTGCATTGCTAGAATAATATAATAACTCAAATTCATTAGAATGACTTACTATTGATTTTTCCCCTCATAAAGCCCATCTCCATGGCAATGTGAATCACATTGGCCTTGTATCCAGGTAGAAATGCCAATTAATTATCTTTTAGATCCCAAACTCCATTCTATCTTAGAATTAAAGTCTGTTCAATGAATAACCATTTTATAAAACCTGATATTCCAACATCTCCTTCGGGGACTTAAGACTAACAATCTACTCGCATCACAGTTGCTCTTGCTATCGTTTACGAGTAAGAAAATCCTTGTATCTTTAACAACCAAGTCACCCATGGGCAACTAGTAATCCTGAGGCCCAGGTTAATGCTATAGGGACTTGAATTCAAATCCCACCACACCAGCAGGTGGAATTTAAATGAATAAATGTGGAATTTAAAACTAGTATCAGTAATGGTGATGATAAAAATCAATACTGATTTTTGTAAATAGCCATCTGGTTCATAAATACTCTCAAGTAAAGGTTAATCTGTCATTCTTATCTTGCCTGGCCAACTTGTGAATCTAGATCCACAGCAACATGGTTGACTTTTAACTGCCGTCTGAAATAGCCAGCAAGCCATCAAGAGCAATGCTCCCATCTCATGAATTTTTTTAAAAAAAGCTTTGTTGTTTGGCAGAATTCAGAACAGGTCATATATAAACCAGGAGCAAGAATAGGCCCTACAAATCTGCTGTCATTCAATAAAACTATGACCAATTTGATTACTTCACAATCGTGCATATTGCAAATAACTTTTCACCACCTTAGTCAAGAATCTGTCTACCTTGGCATTAAAAATATTCAAAGCCTCTGTTGCCACCACCCTATGAAAAAGTGTTTCAAAGAGTGATGATGCTTATAGAACAATCACGTCTTAAATGGTGAATATTTTTAAACATTGACTCCTAGATTCTCCCACAAGAGGAAACATCCTCTCCAAATCATCTGTCAGGACCTTATACATTTCAGGCAGGCTTCCTATTTTTTAAACTTGAGCAGAATCAACTGTAGGCAGACCAGTCTTTCCTCATAAAACAACTTGTCCATTCCGCATGTGAGCCTGGTAAACCTTCCCTGAAATGCTTCCATTGCTTTAACATCCTCCCCAAATATGGAGACCAATATTGTACACAGCTCTCCAGATGTAGTCTCACCAGTGCCCTCTGTAACTGAAGCATAACCTCCATACTTTTGTATTCAATTCCCTTGCACCTGTAAATGCACACTAAGATAGTCTTGTGAGTAATACTTCCTCAAAAGAAAAGTTCTTGTGAATTTTGTATTTGTAGCAATTACTTTGCTGTGTCAATATAACAGAATCATATTCATTATTATACAGCGTACAGACCTTTCCATCAACTCGTCTGTGCTGACCAGATATGCTAAATTGATCTAGTCCCATTTGCCAGCAAGATTGTGTATAATTTATTTTTGCACAAATGAACAACTGTGCATGGAAAACTAAATGATGCTTTGTTTACTTGTGAAGATAAAATTGGCAGAATTCTTATTAAATGCATGTAATCTTTTCTAAAGTAAATGATTGGGGCATTCCTGTTTGCATTCCACAATTCACCCTTCGCAATTATTCACGTGGCATGTGTAGGTGCTAGTTTGGCTAGTTTGAGGTCTTAATTCTTATCTGACATAATAAATTAACCTATGAAAATTGATTGATGGCTTAACATTGACAAGGATATCAAGAGAACTTAAATGGCTCTCAGCGCAGTGGTAGTGACCCTCAAATTCTGCCTGCTGCAGAGGTGTGTAATAACATCTCTGAACAGGTTGGTTAGTAAATATTTATCATGAGAACTTCTGCTACTTTTTGAGCAGTGATTTGTAATCTCTAATGTCATAATTACCAGTACAAAAAGGCTTGTACAACTTTTGTTTTACATGTTTCATTGTGAATAACGCCTCTTGAAATGTATCATTCATT